CATGCGCGCAACGACCACATCTTTTGATGATAGTCTGATAAGTTTTGAATAAGCTATACCGAAAGAACTTACTTGCTTCAATGTCGATATTCAGTACACTGTGGAATATTACTGAGACTATTCAAGGTTTATCACTCATGGGTACCAGATCATCATTATCACACAGTGCTCGCCGTATCAACACATTTAAAAAGATCGCGTATTTCAATCCCATATTAATGAAGACTCCTAATACTCAACTCAAATGTAACGCTGTTGTTATTATCTTCACACTCTCTGACAGCATTTGATTCAGTCCAGTGACCGCAGAGATTGGTAAAAGATTCAATAAATGCTCTTCAGAAAGGATATTAAGCGTCGCATTCGAATCATATTCTATAAAAGTGCCGTAAACCTAGAATTATGTGTGAATGGATTCCACTTTACTGAATATCGGTGTTATTTGCCATAATAATCTTCTTTTTAGATGGAAGTCTTACCCGTATCTGGCCTGCAACGAAGACCTTAACCATAAGCTAAAGAAAGAATTTGAATCTAGAAAACAAAAGTGTGTATATGATGTTGACTAGCTTTCTGATACGCATTTGTTGGGCTTTCTACGATTACTGGACTGAATCTAAGCATAGGAAAAATTAAACATGATTTGCACTAAAATTAACCACCGCCTCAACAGGAATCAGAAGCGCAGTTCCTACACATTCATACTGTGGAATCCTGAAATGAAGGAATAATATATTCAAAGAGATATGTGCGCGATTTAAGGCCGTTCTCGGTTCTTTGCTCTCAGTTTCATTAGAAAAGAACTATCAGCGGAATGATAAGTGTGCGTAGAGAGATTCTCTACATTCACAGTTCTTATCAGTTGGCTCAGATTGCTTGACTAGATAGAAAGAAAGACGCTTCTGAAGTATTGGATGGATAGGCCAAAAATAGTGGTCAATAATAGATACGATTCCAAGTACTCTAGTCAGTCTATTGTGAAATTCCTGGAAAAACCGAGATGCACAGCTCTGCAGACAACTGAGGGCTTCAAGCACATACATTTTTTCAAGGGTATTGCTTCAGATGGAGATGAGAGTGCTCCTGGAAATTGACATATACTTCTTAGTTTATGTGTCAGTTGGCCCAAGTGCTATCCCTCAAATGCCAGAAGATTTAGAAGCTCTGTATTTGTTTGTGTTAGCACAGTCATCAGGAAGCACTCTATTGAAAGGAGAAATTTTACGGCAAAAAAAAGAAAACCTAACTATGTCGTATGCTCCAAGTTTGTCGTACTTCCACTGTTCTATATAAAATATCGAAACCCAAAAAAAGCACTGGATTCAAAAAGCGATGTGCGTTTATCATTTTGACCAGCTTTCTATTGCCCTTTTCTGATTTTTTTTTCTAATTCTAAGGGGGAATGAAGTTGAGTATCAAAGAAAATTATGTTGTAACGTTCAAAACAATCTGCTGCCGATGTAGTACTCTAAAGAGGCCCATCTTTCTATATAAAATCATTCCTGTTTTTCTTTTCGTTAGTAAACATGTTGGTGCCAGCCGTTGTTCGAAAATTTACAGAAATTGTGCATGATTTTTTTAGAGGAATTTGCAGCAAATAGAGAAGTAGTTTGTATCAGTAATGAAATATTTCCATATATGTAAACTTATTCGGTCTAGAAATTGAGAACAGTAATATCCAACAAAAGCTATGACCAAAGCGGGTAAGATGAGATACTATATCTCAATACTGCTCTTGATTGGTACAATAGGTCAAGCTTTCTCGCGTTGTGTGCGAAAACTCAAGCATCATCATACGTTTTGATTTCGACTTTGTAGGAGAAGTCTCAAACTTCGGCTCGCATCTGCGACTTATTTCTTTGATGGAAAGAGGATATTGCGATAATGACAGCGGTAGAAATGCTGCTGTAAACGACTCTCTAGGAGGTGACCGCTACGTGCCTCCGCATCGGCGCAATCGCGGCGGGGGCACTAGCGATGCGCCGCGTCAGTCGCAGCAGCGCTTCGACGACAATGATCATTCGTATGGAGGCGGTGGAGGAAGAATGGGAGGAGGGTAAGCTTTTTGAGGTGCGAGTGCATTGACGAAGCAATACACAGCATGACTTTTTAGTTATCGTGACGGAGGAGGACGTCGCGGAAACTATGGTGGAAGAGATTCCTTTGAAAGGAGTGACCGAGGTGGCGGAGAAGGTTAGTCCACGAGATGGTTTCTTTGCTTCGGAGGTAGTCTCCGAGTTGTAATTCAATTGTTACGTATTTCGTATTTTTTAGACGCTTATTTTTTCACATTTTTATTACTTTCACAAAGTGTTGTATATAATGTGAAAGCTTATCCTTCACTAAACCATGTTCATCGCATTATCAGCTTCAGTTTTCCCTTCTGATAGGAATTGAAAGTTTGCGTTGATGAAAGAAATATATTCGACACCGAGGTTTTCGTAAGCTATCACGAGTTTTCCTAGTTAAGGCATTTATACGAGAAGATAGCAGTAAGCTGGTAAAAATACAGTGTTTGTCATGGCTTGGAACCTCCACTTATCTTTCCAAAATTTTCGAGGCCCTCACACTAGAATCACTACCAGAATCTTTTTAGATAGATTTTCAACCAATTCTTGAGAACATTTTTTAAAATCAAATATTACACTTGCTACTGTCGAAAATCAATCGGAATACGAATCCTCTAGGAGAGATCGGAGAATACAGAAGCGTGTCCCCTTCAAATTTGGATTAGCTACGTGGTGTCTTGAAGGCAAGGAGATAAATTTAGTGGTCGCAAGAAATACATATACCGTTTTCTTCATGAGCGGAACAATTATGAGGCAGTGCGCCAGTTCTCTGGGCGCGTCTAAGCGAACTTCAGCAGGTTTTAAAATGATGTTTCCGGTCATCAGACATTCCGTTTCTCACCCCAAAAACAGTACAAAGTCAGTCGTTTTGCAGAAAAGGATAACGCAGCTATCCAGTGGAGAAGGGCTTACTATGTATAACATGTTTGAAATTTTGAAGAAATGCCTGGAATTAAAATTACGAAAAATCGTGTAAAAACTTAGCTGAAATGTTCAGGAGGGAAGGTCACCTTCAGTACATCATACATAGGGTGAAAGTTTTGCTCACTCTCCCCCCCC